ATACATTTATCCTATGCCTCATCTGATCTCAGTCATTAACTAAATTTGATTTATTTATTATTAATATGAAATGATATTTTAATTTGGATAAACTGTTATTTTATATATATGTTTATTTATATATATATCTTATTATGTAACTGTGATCTATGTTGTTGCTAAAATAAAATAAAAATAAAAATAAAAAAAAAGATGTTTGAAAATTGTTTTATAAGCATAATTATATACATAAATAATATAAAATTTCATTTATATTTATATGCCGGATCTTTAAGGGCTATGTCTTTTTATACGTATATTTTGCGATTTATTGATTAAAATTATGAGACAAAATTCAACAATTAACAACTAGATAAAAAAAAACGCCTATGTAAAAAATAAACATTTATTAAGCATCTAAAATAACACAAATGTATAAAATTTTAAAGGCAATAAAATTATGTGATTAGTAAACATGGTATTTGTTAAACATTTTTGCACTTTTATATTTCATTAAAAATAATAGTCCTGAATAATTAAGTTTCAACCAAAGTTGCTAGAAGTACAAGTTTGTGACCGAACAATATATTTTTGTGTATTCGAACTTTATTTGAGACATGCCAATTAAAACATTTTTTTTACAGTTTTGACAGAAACATATTTTGCCTTTTTTATAACCTTAAAAGCTTACAAACTTAAATCACGGATTTACATTACAAATTACATTGTAATATAAATCCGTGCTTAAATAAATGAGTAGAAAACCGACCACAAAAGTCACTTGTCAATTCTCAAAATGTGCACATGACCAGTCTATATCTTCAATAACTTCGTCAAACCTGAAGGTAGGAGGCTGAAATCTAAAAACAAGTGTGCGCTAAACATTGCCCAAATGAATGGGCATATCCAAAAACTCAAAATAAGATAAAAAAAAATACTTATACGGGGAATTACATGCGGGCGTTACAAATTTTCGTGAGTCTGTAACAAGTTTGCAACCATTTCGCTAGCTTGAACCAAGTGTGCAACCATTTAACATCTCGCCCTTGTCCAATGTAATTATCTTTTATAAATGTAGTATACACATTATATAATTGTATGTACTTCGCTCCCTCCTTTTTCGAACCCGTGTGACTACATGTAACCCAAAAACACCATATATAAATTCAATGTGTTGCCCGGTGATATCAACACATGTACATGTGCTTCAGTTATTTGATACTTTGTCAACATTCAATCATCCTCGGCAATCTCAGAAAGAGGATTAAGAAAAGGGATAGTGTAGTCACCTGCGCATCGATCAAATGTTCCACTACCGTTCACGTTCTTTAAGTGACGCAAGCTGCTAAGAGACCGTACTTGCCAGTGACGCAACAAGACCATAAGTAATTAAACGTGGAGGGTAGACACGTGAAATTGATTCACGTGAACTGATACTAAAAAGTATTTAAATATTTTCCTTAAATCAACCAACAAAAATTTCAAGTTAGCTCAAACTATGGTCGCACGTTTAAATTAATAGAAATTCATGCGGCCTCTCCACCCCACGGTCCGATCCCACAAAATAATAATAATGAATATATGTATAAGAAAGTCACTGGAACCATGAATGAACTGGCTCTACTAGCTGTTTACCTAATAAAAGAAATGAAATATCAAAAAAAAAAAAAAACGGAAAAAAACCACGTCTAACTGGACCGTCTTCTGACCCATATAGAGAACAACAAGTAACATGGAATATATAGACACCGTGTTCATACACATCTTTGATCTTCTGTATCACATCTATGCATTTTTCAGTGTTCTGAAATTTAGATAGACAGGAAATGCGCTTTTCGTGATGGCAAACAAAACAAACAAATTCTGACAGTGGACACTTGAAATGAGAAGAACTATCATATCGTGTCAAAGACTTGTTGGATAACATCCTCGATCACCAAGTCTTTTGTGTTTGCATGATCGGAATGGAATAAAAAAATTCAAATTAAATTGCGCGATTCAATTTCTATGGCGTTCATCTTAAAAGTGTCAAAAACCAAAAAAAAATAATCTAAATTATGACCCCTTTTAAAAATAAACTATAGTTTACTTAACTTATAGTATATTTTTAAAGGAGACCATATTTTACAATCTTTTGGATTGGGTTTTTTTTACACTTTTAGGATGAACACAGTTTTTTTATCAATCTGGTCATATTTTTACTTCCCAGGTCCGATACTCGTCCCTGTTGCATGAGCTTTTATTTCATATATGACAATCAAAACTATTTTATGTTCTCATGGAAACAGATTCTGCAATATTGTCGTCAGGTAAAGTACAGTGAAACCTCAGCGCTGATTCACGTATTGTTTACTTGTCGAACTATGTTGACCCTAAACCCAAGGATTCACTTAGTGACCCGATGAATCTTCACCAGCAATTACCTTAGAAATGTCTTCTTACTCATGATGAAGTCATAATGACTGCAGATTTAGTTATCGCATGATCTTTGATGTTTCTCGTTCAGCTACATGTATTATCAAAGACAATACAGATATATAGCTGTGAGGCAATTATATATTATGCCAGAAACATGAGTAAAGCAAATTTTGCATTGTACAAAGATAGAGATATTACAGAGATATATAGATATATCGCTAGCCCTAAATTAATTTGTAATATATCAAAATGACTAAAGTTCAGATCCATGCAGTAGCGTAATTTAGGAGCTGGATTTAATTAGATTGTGTGATATGTATGCCAAATAGAAAACATTAAGGAATGGTTTTTTATTTGTTTGGGTCGTCAGACCAAACAAATAATGGTAGCGAAATTTCAGAGTATAATGTTCTTAATTGCAAATGCCGAAAGTAGTCCACTTTTTTGAAGCGGTTACTTCCCTTTTGTATGTACACTAAAGCCGAAAAATTCAGGGGAGATCACTGCGTAAAGATGGTCAAAGACAGGCGCATCAATTTTCAAGCAAAGTAATTCCCGAATGGTCGAAGGTTTCTAATATTATTTTATTGTATTTTCTGATCGAAAATAACTAAATACAAAGCGGACATTCAATCTCTGAACAGAAGTTTACAACAAACCTAACAACAAGTAGTTCTCAAAACAGCTTAAAACTAGCGATTTAAAAGAAAGAAATATTTTATTTTGTTACAAGTATCCAACAAATTACAACGCATTTAAAGTTAAACAAAAGCGTTGGCTTATAGAATTGTCAATAAATGCACAATCACAAATTACGCGGATGAATATGATTTTATCAATGAAAATACTATTTATAACCGAATACTACACAAACCGAGTAGTGGAATATATAGATTCTACATGTCGGACTGTTTGGGCGAGAGGATTTTCGCTAAAATATTTACTTCAATTTTAAACAACAGGTTTACCCTGAACAAAATACCTCGAAATTAATAAGGATTACAAACCCGAAATGCAATGGAAGTTCTCAATTTAGAATGACTTGATATTATTCAGACTTTCTGTGTATAACTTCTCCGTGGTACAGTGGTAACGCGCTCGCTTAGTGAGTGAGAGGTCTCAAGTTCGAATCCCAGTCGAGGAAATTTTTTTTTTTCTGATAAATTCTTTTTTAAGTGTTTTTGTTAAGGAAGTAGCCATGATATGCAAGGATAAAGTGTGACTGTCGTAAAAAAATGAACATAAATGATTTTTTGATGCAACTCTAGTTATGCAGAATTCCGTATGTATCAAACTCTGGTGCCTTGCAAAATGAATTATAATACATAAAAATAAACCTATACAGGAAAATGCATACAGATATACAGTACGATTTAGATTGCAAAGATCAGAAAATACCACAGAACTTGCAGCACTTTGATTTTTTATAAATATAAATGCTTATAGTAAGCTCCAGGATTATTTACATCTGTGTTAAACAACAGTTAAAGTCGTTACAAGCCCTAATTTAGAATAATATGGTTTTCTTCAGCCCGTTCACATATAAATTCACCGTGGCTGAAGGGTTTTCGGGCTCGCTTAGGAAGCGAGAGGTCTGGAGTTCAAATCCCAGTAAAGGTAACTCATTTTTTTTCCAAATTGTTAAAGTCAAATAAACATTGGATTGAATATCAGTGTTGCAATTAGTCTTATAGCCAATTTACTACAATTAAAACGCTGGAAAGCATTGGTGGCACTATACATATAATCTCACAACCTGCACCTTTCTTACATTCTGAGACCCAAACAAATTCAGCACCTTCTGTGCTTTGATCTTCGATTGTGTTTACCTTTCAAAAATCTTATGATTTATAACCTTGAATCTTATATGATTCATATATACACGTATCGCCAAGTCTTGAATTGAAATAAAAGCCGTGATTTCATATCCAAATTTATTTATTTGTAGACCTGTATACTAAATATGATATTTGTAGGTATACTAAATATTCATAAATGATAGGAAAACGGATGTTTTTTCTTTGCATTTTTTTCTTTACATTTTTATTTGTGTACGGAATAGAACATGTCATGTATGTTAACACAGGTATTTCACATGTTCAGAGTCACAGACATATACAATGTATTAAGTATCTCAAATAACCTATCATACATAATTTTTAGTATTTTGTTCCATCGACCTTTATCTAAAATCTGCCCAGAATGATCATAGATCTGTGTGATATACGGGGCACCGAATTATACTCTGTGACGAGTATACGTGTCACCGTGCCGAGAGAAAAGACGATGACACCGCAAATTAGAAAATAAGCCTAATAGGAAAACTGTAAATGACGCGGAATGATTTTGAATTACTTCCCTTTATTTACTTAATACTGTTCCAAGTTGGACTGTTCCATTTTGTCACCTCAGGAGTCGCTAACGTTGGCGTCTGAATGAAATGAATTCAGACATTGTTTAATACATTTTTACATTAAATGTTTAAATTTTTATTGTGGAAAAAGCACAAAATGACAATTCCACAGAATCAGTTCTTCTAAATTATTTTACAACGCTCACGTTCTGGATGAACTTAGCGTCTTTTATCTGTTTTGCTTCTCGCATTTCATAATGGACTCGCCCAATTAGATTCTGAGTCAGGTAGCACCATTTAATCTTGGTTATAAGGTCAACAAGTAGCAAAAGAACAAGTTTTGAGTGTCTGAAAATTTAGCAACAAGTTTAAGGATGTCGGAACAATAATGAAACGTATGTATGAGAATTTTATATTCGATCTAGGTTTATTTATGAGCCTTATGAGGTGCATTTCTTTTCTCATGCGAAGATGCAAAATGATAAAAATCTCATTTTCCAGAACTGTTGTATACATGTACACGATAACACGTACACGTTTATCTTCGGGGAATAAATTTTTTAGCATACTTTAAACCTGCCAAAATAACTTAAAATGTAAGATAGAATTAAATGTGATATATTTGAACTTGTTAGTAATTTGTGATAAATATAATGTTATACATGTTATAAGTGTACTAAAATAGCAACCACTTTCCCCACCCCCTGTCCTGGTGCAGCAAACGGTTTAACACAGGAAATTAGTCAAATTTTCATTACTGCTAGGTCAAGTTGTGTTGTTGGTTATTTTGGTGCCAAAATATTTGGACAGGATTAAATTACAAATTTGCAATTCTTGATCATTTGGAAGGGATTTTAGCATTTGACTAACCAAGACAAGCCCCCCCCCCCCCCATTCCTTGTAAAATTTTTAGACAAATGTACATGTCACAGTTATTGATTGCCAAAGATCAAGGTAAAATATCATTGAGCAATGTCTGTTTATTGTTTGGCAATATTGACCCCAGTCTCATTAATTTTCAGAAGCTTTTTGTTGAGTTTCCATAATTTATTATGATTTACTAATTGATTTTTAATGATAGGAAAGTTCTTGATACTATATTTTACTCTTGAGTCCGGATGACCTAGTGGTAAGTATGAAAGCATTATAGCAATTGCGAAGTTGCAAGTTCGAATCCTCAACAAACTTAATTTTGTTTCAGATTTCTTTCAATATTTTTTCTATTATGTTTATTTGGCTTATTAAACAATTAAAAAAAAAGAAAAAAAAAGATTGCCTTCACGGGGATTTGAACTCCAGACCTTACTAACCGAGCGTATAACCCCTCGTCCATGGTGAAGTTTCCAGATAACAGCCTGAAGAAAACCACATTATTCTAAATTTAGGTTTGTAACCCTTATTAATTTCATGGTAAACCTGATGTAAATAATCATGGAGCTTAAAGAAGCATGTTTATTTGCAAAGATTAACACAAATATTGAAAATCTTCCACCAATCAGGAACAATTTTTTCTTCCCCGAGAATTAATGCGCTTGTCATTTGACAATATGTATGCAGTGATTTCCCTTTATTTTTCAGCGTTAATGTACTTATAAAGGGAAGTAACCGCTTCAAGGAGTTTGGACTACTTTCGGTATTTGCAAATAAGCACATCAGGGTCTGAAATTTCGCTACCATTATTTTTTTTGGTCTGACTATCCAAACAAATAAAAATGGTCCAGGTAATTGTCCAATTAGTAATTTTTTGGAATCTTTATATAACAGGACACTAAAAATAAAAGATAAAAACTTTTCAAAAAATACAAAATAAAAGTGTTTCTGAGGCATAATGGGCTTTTGATAAAGAGATTATTGTCAGTATCAGTTAATATTCTTGACTATCATTTTAAGACTAAAGTCACAGAATACAGTCACATGAGATAAGGCCAATATCTGAGCAGCACTTGTAACAAATCTACCACTTATACACCCAAGTATGTATAGAGAAAGCCACAGAAATGCACACCTGTTCATTGAGTTCATAACAATCAATATCTACAACCTCAGAAAATCCATGTAAATTAATACATAAATAATTAAATACAGCTGGGCAATATATATTAGAAGTCCACTTGATCTTAAAGAAAAATAAAGATACATTGTAGAGATGGCAAATTATATTGGCAATATACACACCAGTCAATAATTGAAAACCAAACTGCCATCCCACCCTCAGGGCAGGTTGAGTAAAACCTCTGAGGGGACAAAATGACAATATTTTTTAAACATATTTTGCAAATCTTTTTGTTTAAAGTTTCCCAGCCAATTAATGTAAGAAATTCAAATTATATACTTTTTGTATTTTCTGATCTTAAGATCAGTAAATACATAGCTAACATCCACGGTCTAACACAAAATTTCCTTACAGTCCTAACAACGCAAAGTAGTTCTCACTCAAAACTTCTTAAAAACCAGCAATTTAAAAGAAAGAATAATTTTAAATGTAGGCATTTAACAAATTACAGTGCATTAAAAGTTTAGATTAGTCAATAGAAATATGAGGTTACAATCACAAATTTCGTGGATGAATATCTTTTTTACCCAATGAAAAATGTTTGGCTATTTATGTAAAGCTTCGGATTATCATGAATATCATTTTAATCAATGAAAATGCTATTTTTAGCTATGTCGATTAATGAATACTCCAGAGCGTAGTACACAAATAAATCTGACTGTCGAGTAGTGGGATATATACATGTCGGACTGTTTTGGCGAGAAGATTTTCGCTAAATTATTTTCATCAGTGTTAAACAACAGGTTTATCGTGAACAAAATACCTCGAAATTGATAAGGATTGCAAACAAGAAATGAAAATTCTCAATTTAGAATTACATAATGTATTCATTTTTATTCAAGGTACATATGTATTACTTCGCCATGGTGCAGAGGTAAGAGGTCTCGTTGAGGGTGTGAGAGGCCTATGGTTCAAATCCTAATCGAGGCAATTCAATTTTTTTTTCATGCAAAATTCCATATGTATCAATCTCAAACTGTTATAGAAGAAAATCAAAACGCTGTAGCTGCGTAAGATGAATTATAGTACATGTATATAAAAATAAACTTATACAGGAAAGTACATACAGATAGTCAGTATGATTTAGATTGCAAAGATCAGAAAATACCATAGAGCTGCAGCCCTTTGATTATGTTTCTGGATGTATGTGGAGTTCGATCCTTTAATTAAGGGTTAATTAATTTCAAAGTTTATGAAAAATCTGCCCATTAGTTTTAGGGGTTTTCAGTTTCTTATTGATTGAATATAAGCAGTCAATAGAATGGTCTAAAATGACTTGCACAGATGTTACAATAGTATAAGGTTTAAAGGTAAAGCAGTCTGAGCTGTCAAGAGAAAGGAAGTAGACTGGACTGCTGTATGTCATTGTCTTAGATCTGAGAATATTGTTGTTTCAGATTTGTTGCAAGTTTTCCATGAAGCTGATGATATTTAAAGAATATAAAATAGTCAGACATTCCTGTTAACTTCTTCTTATACACCTTTGGATTAAATTATTTATCAACTTGATGAAATAAGATTTAAAAGTAAATTTTAACTGTCTAAAGGTCTGCAAAAGGTGCCACTTGTGCTGAAGGTTGTTGGTCCATCCGCCTGCATTCATTTATTTTGTCATTATGATTTCTAAGTTTATTTGATTGATTATAAATTTCTGTTTGAAGTTCATTTAAAGTTATTAAAAACATGTGGCGGCATGGCCGAGTCGTTAAGTAACGCATCCGACCAGTAATCTAAGAATTGATATCTGTGTGGGTTCAAATCCCATCAGGGACATGTCGTTGTTTTCATGAGCAAAAAACTTTACATATGTTAATTGTTCAGTACTGGTTGTTTCCAGGAACAAATTCGAGAGTGAATCTGTAAGGGAAATGAGCTTCCTCAAAAATCAAACTAAAATAAGGAATTAATTGAGGAGTTATAATGTTATGTAAGTTTTTTGAGTTATAATGTTCTGTAAGTTTATTGTGTTATTATGTTCTTTAAGTTTATTGAGTTATAATGTTCTCTCTGTAAGTTTATTGAGTTGTTATGTTCTGTAGGTTATTGAGTTATAATGTTCTGTAAGTTTATTGAGTTATAATGTTTTGTAAGTTTATTGTGTGTTTATGTTCTATGAGTTGATAAAGTGATGATGTTCTTTAATTATTTGGTTAATAATTATGTTCTGTAAGTTTAATGAGTTATAATGTTCTGTAAGTTTATTGAGTTATAATGTTCTGTAAGTTTATTGAGTTATAATGTTCTGTAAGTTTATTGAGTTATAATGTTCTGTAAGTTTATTGAGTTATAATGTTCTGTAAGTTTATTGAGTTATAATGTTCTGTAAGTTTATTGAGTTATTATGTTCTGTAAGTTTATTGAGTTATAATGTTCTGTAAGTTTATTGAGTTATAATGTTCTGTAAGTTTATTGAGTTATAATGTTCTGTAAGTTTATTGAGTTATAATGTTCTGTAAGTTTATTGAGTTATTATGTTCTGTAACTTTATTATGTTTTTATGTTCTGTCAGTTTATTGAATTATAATGTTCTGTGACTTTATTGAGTTATTATGTTCTGTTAGTTTATTGAGTTATAATATTCTGTTGGTTTATTGAGTTACAATGTTCTGAAAGTTCATAAAGTTATAATGTTCTGTGAGTTTATTGAGTTTTAATGTTCTGTAAGTTTATTGAGTTAAAATGTTCTGTAAGTTTATTAAGTATTGATGTTTTGTGAGTTAATTGAGTTATTATGTTCTGTAAATTTATTGAGTAATAATGCTCTGTAAGTTTATTGAGTTATAATGTTCTGTAAGTCCATAGAGTTACAATGTTCTGTAGGTTTTTGAGTTACAATGTTCTGTAAGTTTATTGAATTATAATGTTCTGTAAGTTTTTTGGGTTATAATGTTCTGTAAGTGCATAGAGTTACAATGTTCTGAAGGTTTTTGAGTTATAATGTTCTGTAAGTTTATTGAGTTATAATGTTCTGTAAGTTTATTGAGTTATAATGTTCTGTAAGTTTATTGAGTTATAATGTTCTGTAAGTTTATTGAGTTATAATGTTCTGTAAGTTTATTGAGTTATAATGTTCTGTAAGTTTATTGAGTTATAATGTTCTGTAAGTTTATTGAGTTATAATGTTCTGTAAGTTCATAGAGTTATAATGTTCTGTAGGTTTTTGAGTTATAATGTTCTGTAAGTTTATTGTGTTATAATGTTCTGTAAGTTTATTGTGTTAAAATGTTCTTTAAGTTTATTGTGTTATTATGTTCTGTAAGTTCATAGTGTATTATTGTTCAGTAAGTTTCTTGAGTTATTATGATCTGTAAGTTTATAGAGTTACTATGTTCTAAAAGTTTA